AACTGAATTTCTCGACAAAATGAATGAAATATATGGCGATAAATTAAAAGCACTTATAAACGTGAAAGATACTTATTCATATTATCGAGACACTTGTGATAAAGTATGTGATTATTATAATGTAGAATATTCAAAAATGGTAAAAAGTGTAGAAACACTTAGAAACCATCCAAATGTGTTTGCGTGGTATGTAGACGACGAAACAGCATTGTGTGGAATCGATGAAATGACCAATTTGACAATGACAATAAGAGAAAAGGACATCAACCATCCTTGTTATTCGGTGTATTGGCAATACTTGGACACCACCAAATATCTACCAACTTTCGACGCTTATGGACTTGACTTATATCCAATCAACATATCTGCTATAATTGATGTTTACACACATCAAAAAGTCATTTATGACGAAGGTTTTGGCACACGATCAACGTGGCCAGTTATACAAGCGATGAATTATGAGGCGTACTATTTTCAAGACCCAGTTAAATTCAAGGGAAAATATGTCAGAGCACCAACTCAACAAGAAATGCGAGTGATGACGTGGCTTGGATTTATTGGAGGCGCCAAAGGTGTTTTTTATTACTCATTTTTTGATTTGGTCTTCATGAATGACAAAGGCGATCCTTTTGAAGAAAAATGGAAAGATGTTGTTAAAGTAACAGACGAAGTGTTTGCATTGAAAGATGTAATATTGTCTATTGAGGAAGCAGGGAAATACAGTGTTATTGTTGATGACGAATTAGTTGTGTTTTTAAAGAAAAGACTTGATAAATATGACTATCTTATCATCGCAAATGGAGACGAAAAACAAACGAGAAAAATAAGTGTGGAACTTCTCACTGACGAGTACGAAATAATAATGGGAAACGGGATTTGTGATAAAACAGATCATCAATTAAATATTAAAATAAACCCCATTGATGTTTATATCATAAAAATAAAATCAAAAAGTGAAATACAAAAAGACGAGGGATACTATATTATTATACTCTGTGGTATTTTAATGTTGGCAATAATTATTTTATCTTTTATTGAATTTTAATAGTATTTTTGTTGGGTTTGTATGAAAGTGTATTTAATAAATTGATATTTTGTTATTTGTATTATTTAATTATATTTGTTATAATTTGTGTATGGTCACTACACATTTAGATAATTACTTAATGTATTGTAATTAGTGTTATTAAAATGTTTTTTTAAAAAATGGTTGTTTTCAACAACAAGTCAATTAAAAATCATTTTAAAACATGTCAAGATTGTGTTTGGCGAAACATTAATATGAATTTACAACAGTAAAATTATAAAAAATATCAAAGATAAAATAACAATAATAAATTAAATTTTACTTAAAATTTTTTTTAAATAAATCTATAAATTGCCAAATTATTATTGAAATTAATTAAAAACAATAATTGAAATAAAACAAAAAATGATTTTCAATTTTATTAAAAAGTCATGTCAATGTCTCATCCAAAATATAATATCAAATAATTAATTTTGTGACTATTTGATAATAACAATTTTTTTAAAAAAATAATTCAAAAAACAAAATCAATTTAATGATATATTATTTCATTTTTTTTGATTCACAATTAATGAACCTATCGAATGAATGTTTTAAGTACATTTAAATATTGTTCAATGCAATCTAAAGCATAAGTGTTTAATTGGTTAAAAAAGAACAACTTTTCAATAGAAAAATACTAAATTTGTTTAAATTTGGTTTAAAATATGATAATTAAAAAATAAAAATTGCACCTAATTTAAACATAAAAAAAATATTAAAAATGAGATAATAATCAATAATATTTAATTAATTATAAAAACATATTAAAACAAATGTATTTATTTTTACCACCATTTCCTTGAATGATTTTTGAATATATTAAAGAACGCATCTAAAATATTGAATGGAATATGAATGTCCGTGTTCTACACCTGACCGAAGACGATAAAATTCAAACTCAAAAAACATCATTTCAAGAGCTCAATTCTGTCAAAGAGTTTCAATTAAAAATTAAAAAAATAATAAGCCAAAACACACCAAACCAACCTTCAAGTTCTTCGAGTTATAATTCAAAACGTTCATCCACCAAAACAAATTATTTAAATGCAAATAACAATGAATGTGATGCTCGTGATTATTCAAATGAAAGAAATTCGGAACTGTTAAAATCCATTGCAATCGATCTTGCGAAGGCACGTCAACAAATCAAACAATTAACAGAAGAAAACTCGAGACTTAAAAATCTATTGTACTGTCGAGATAAAAGCTTGAAAGATAATTTTTCTTTTGATTTAGATCCATATTTCAATTTCGGTGTTAATGGTATAATACCTGATTGTATGAAAGACAAAACAATTGAAAAAACTCTTTTTGAAATTGAAAACAACAAATTTAAACCCGAAAAAGGTGGAATTACTGAAACGATCAAATTTATTGTACCTCCAGATGTATTTGATGGGTATGAGCCAATTACTGTTCTTTTCAAAAAATACACAATTAATCAAGACCAAAGAAATGAAACACAATTTTTGATGTCAAATTTAACACTTAAAAATATGGCGAAAAGTGAGGATGGGTTAAAGTATAGTAATTTTTTCGATGGTTCAACAATAGATGGAGTGACATGCAATTCTTTATTGTGTTTTTCTAAAATGACCAATGAAGTTCAGTTGTGCAAAGAAAACGTTGAATTACCATTATTTTATGTTTATACAGGAGGATCTTTAGAAAGAAAAGGATTTAAAATCAATTATAATGTTGGCGCTGAAAACACCAAATATTTGTTTTACTCCGAAAATATGTATCATCTGATTAACCTTACTTTTAAAGATGATGAAGGCATATTTTTAAGAGATGGAAATGACTTGCATGTAAATATAAATTTGAGTTATAATGATACTTATTTCGAAATTATATTACCAAATTCCCAAAAAGTAAATTTAAGTATTCTTGACACAAAACCAAAAGTATTGAACTACAATGGAATTGGTTTACCCATACTTGGCCAGCCTGATATTCAAGGAAATTTGATTGTACATATTACATATGAGTAAAAATAAGTTTTTTCTTGTTTTTTATTATAAAAATATAAAATGTTAATTTTTAAATTTTAAATGATTTTTAAAAAATTGAGAAAATAATTATATTGTCGGTCGATAAACGTTATTTTAATAACACTAACAACTACAATATAAAGCATCCATCTATGTGTCAATGGACCAATCAAATGCAAAACACACAAAAAGAAATTTTGTTCTAGAATTTTGAATTTAGATATACTTAAATAAAAATTATAGTTTTTTTATGATTTAAAATTCTTATATCATTAAAATCTTTTATATTTTTTGAATAAAATAGTGAATAGAATTTACTACACAATTCCATGATAAACCCATAAATAAACGCTTTTTAATGTATATTAAATTGATTAAAAACAAAATTGAAGTCAAATTTAATATAAAAACCATGAAAAATAACGACACAAAGATTTAGGTTTGTTTTGAATATTTTTAAAACGTTTTAATTATTATGCTTCAAAACCCACCATACAAAATTTTAAATCTAACATTTATGAACTGACTCGACATAATAAAGTTATATAAATGTTATTAATAACAATTTTGAGTATAAAACATACAGATTTTTTTAATCATCAAATACCACTAAAACCAATCAAATATAAAAATTGTTTTGTTGTTATTAAATTAAAACCAAATCAATTAAACAAAATAACATATATAAACTGAATAAATAATTCAATCAAATATTATTTATCATCTCGAGTAAAATACTTTTGTTTGTGCCAGAAAATCTTCCAATTTCGATTTTGTCTTTGATCAGTATAAATGTTGGCATTGCCATGATTTCATATCTCTCAACTAATTTCTGTCCTTTATCAACATTGACCTTCAAAAACTTAATCGTCACGTGTTCAGTAGATATCTTTTTGTATACAGGATCCATTGTCTTACATGGATGACACCAAGCAGTTGAAAATTCTATGATAACATTTTCGTTTTTTGAAAGTGCTTTTTCAAGCTGTTCAATAGTTTCGACGTTTTCAATTTCCATTTCTTTTTGATATTTTGAGTGAGTTTTTCTTTATATTTTCAATGCAAAAAATAAGAAAAAATGGACAATTACTTATTTGAAAAAACAAACACTTAATTATAATTATTTATATTATAATTATATTATATTTATATTATATTTAAATTATAATATTGTTCTGGAAAGTTGTTTCAAATTTTAATTTCTTATATCTATAGTATTAATAATAATTTTACTATATTATTTATTAATAAAAATAGTCTGGACATTATTTCTATAACTTGGTTAGTTTAGGTTGTGAAAAATTTAATGTATTATTTAATAATAATATAAAAGTTATTATGTAGTAGTATATAAATTGAATATGTATTTAATATTGTATAATAAAGTATATAATAATAATAAAATATGTTTGGGTGATATTATTATTTTTATTGAGTTTTTGGTTAATTCTGAACATGATTGTTTTATAGTGTTTAAAATTCGATTTTTTGAATTATCAGAAACACAATGCCAAGTTATCTGATTAACACGTTGGAGTTTATTTTGTGTTTTTTCCCAGAATTTTTTTCCATTAAAACACGACATACTATTTTGCCGAAATAGTAAAACAAAAATATTTTTTGAATAACATTTATACAAAATAATATTCAAAATTTCAAAACGATAATATCTGATCGAGTCCTTGATACAAAAGGCGCCTTTGATCAAAAAAACAAAAGTTCAAACAAAACAGTTCATTTTTTTGTATTTTTTAAACCAACACCGAATTAATTTATATGTTTAACGTTGAATATTATGATAAAGAGACTTAATTTTAGCGACAGTTCTTGAAGTTAATTCTGTTAAAAAAATAAAAACGACAATCTATTCTCTGCAATTGAAAGCGTGTATATTTATAATATAAACACTCTATAAATTTATGTGGATCAAGTTAATAAAATGTCACTTCGAGTGGCGACAAAACGCTTGTTACAAACGTTCGTCGTCTTAACAAATTGCTACAAGCAATGAAACACTCGGAGATGGTCAAAAATAACAATAATTGAATATCTTAGTGATTTTTGTTATCATTTGAATATAAATTTTTCTAAAATCACAAGGATAAAAATTCACAAAAGAGCTCAAACAGGTTTTTTCCTTATTTTTTATTTTTTTACACTCGGCAAAAAAATAAAACATCAACTTTCTTATTTTTTTTCATATAAACCAGAAAAAAAGCCCCAACTTGTTAAAAAACTAAACTTCATTAACCACTAATTAATAATATATAATAACATTGTTATAACAAATAAATTAAAAATTATTAAATAAAAATATTAATAATATATTTGATGGAATTATAAAATAACAAATTGCAACTTATTAGTAATTGCCTTAGCCTTTTAATCATACAAAAAAAATGTTTTAAATACTTCTCTATTATTGTGTATTTACACTGATATAACACAATTTTTCTCTAAATTAACTTTTAAAATTTAAAAGACATGCTATAAATTATATGATAATTTTTATTGCTATTTTATAATCAATTATTTAACAATATAAAATGTATTATAAATTTATAAAACAATTGTTGATATATAAAAAATAATATTACATATAAAGTACAACGTTATAAATAATATTGTACTTTATATGTAATATAATTATATTTATTAATTAATATAGTTAAAAATCAAGAAATTTGTTTTATATTTTAATAGCTCCAAAAACTTGCAGATAAGTTAAAAGTTAATAATTTAGAACAAAAATTTAGTTATTATAAACCGTTTAATAATAATATAAAACAAATTTAATTAATTTTGTTTTTAGACACTTTGATATGGCATAATTGAAAAGTAATAATAACAGAGGTCTTTTAATCAATAACGTTTAACTTTTTTATCAATTATTATAATAAAAAAATATAAACAAATCTTATAAAAACTCGATAAAAAACAAGAATGTTTTGTGAAATATTCATGTTTTTCGTCGCTTATTCAATTTCGAAAAACGTTCGATGGTGTTTCGACTTAAACATTGTTTTTTGTTATCAAGAAGACTTTGTATGTCCTTATGATAATCAACTTAAGTCATTCAACACTCAAATTGTACTTAATAGAACTGTATTAAGACATTACAAAGAATTAAATATCAAATGTAATTTCACAAATAAATTGAGTCTTTCTTTTAGTGACGAATTGAACTCGGTTTTTCAATTTGAATTTTCAGAAAAGAGAACGCAGTACATTTTAAATAGTACTTTATTGCAAATTATTGAATCCGACGAATTTTATCAAAACAATTTAACAAAACTACAAAATGAAAAAACCACCAAAATGTATACAAAAGGTGCGTCTTGTGCCAATGGGACATATTTAAATGGACAAAACTGCTATTATTGTGACCAGTCGTGTCAAACTTGTGAAGACTTTTCTATTAACAACTGTAATGATTGTTCCTCTGGTTATTATAAAACAAACAATTCATGTTTTCAATGTCATCCTTATTGTGAAACGTGCATTTCAAATGAACAAAACAGTTGCTTAAAATGTAAACCAGGGTTTTATTTAGTAGATGGCTCTTGTTATTTGTGTCCAAAAAATTGTGCAGCATGTAATTTTCGTCAATATTGTACAAAATGCAAACCAACATATTACCTTATTATTTTGGAAAACGTCTGTCTAAAATGTAAAGAAAATTGTTTGACTTGTACTTCAAAGGCATGTAGTTCTTGTGTAGATGGGTATTACTTATCAGGAGACGTTTGTAAGAAGTGTGTCACATTTTGTAAAACATGTCAATTGGAAGTAGCTGTAAGATGTACTTCGTGTTTTGAAGGGTATTATTTGAATTTCATAACAGGTTGGTGTTCTCCATGTAATTCTTCGTTGTGCTCCATATGTACAGATGGCAAAGAATCGAGTTGTGTTCTATGCAAAGAAAATTTATACCTTTCAAATGGCAAATGTTTAAAGTGTGATTCAACATGTAAAACGTGTTTTGGACCGAACAATGACAACTGCAATTCATGTGACAACAATTCTTATCTTATTAATAACACATGCAATAAATGCTACAGTTATAGATGTTATCAGTGTTATAACAACACTATGAGTGGATGCTATTTGTGTCAACCGGGCTATTATGTATCAGCTGGAAACTGTAAACAATGCAGTTCAAATTGTTTGGAGTGTACAGGTTTTATAACATGCAGTACCTGTAATAATGGGTATTACCTTAATGTTACATCCAATAAATGCTTACCGTGTTATTATACCAAATTGTGTGCATCGTGTTCTAATTCAACGAGTGTTGGTTGTACACAGTGTAATCAGGGGTATTATCTTACTACAACACGAACGTGTGTTGCATGTCCATTAAGTTGTACGGCTTGCAAAGAAATGGGTGATATTACACCAACATGTACAGCTTGTTATACCCCGTTTTATTTGAAGGATGGGGTTTGTATTCATTGTGACAACAATTGTAAAACATGTGAAGATTCTTCCACAACATGTACATCGTGTATTGATGGGCAAATGTATCTCAATAAAAATAAATGTGTTGCTTGTAATATGTGTAGTCCTTCTCATTGTTTTTCGACTGGATGTTCTCTTTGTAATAAGACGAATTACTACCCAGACGAATTTAATTGTTTTCAATGTGATTCAAGTTGTCTTACATGTAATGGAGGATCTTCTAAAAATTGCACTTCTTGTAAAGAAGGACAATATTTAATGGAAGGAAAGTGTATATTGTGTGATTCCAATTGTGGTGAAAACAATTGTTCATCTGACATGGGATGTCAAGAGTGTCAAAACGGTTATTATCCCAAAAACAAAATTTGTGTTCCTTGTTCAACGATTAACAATTGTGTATCATGTTCTAATTCAACAGAAGAGTGTATAGAATGTTCTGGAATATTTGTTATTGAAAATGGTATTTGTGTGTGTGAAAATGGGTCATACCAAAACACGACTACTACTTGTGATAGTTGTTTTAATCATATAGATAACTGCCAAATTTGTGAGAGTAATTTTAATGACCAAAATTTATACAATAATGTTAGTTGTAAGAAATGTTATCCACCTTATTATATGAGTAATAATTTGTGTATCTCATGTCCACCTGGTACATACTTTGAAAATGAGATGTGTCATACAAATGATGCAAATTGTCAAAACCAAAGTGCTTCCAATGAATGCATTTTATGCCAAAGTGGTTACACACTTCGTAACAAAAAGTGTGAACCTTTTGTTGATTGCAAAAGTGAATCTCAAATTGGATGTGAAGAGTGTGACTATACAATTAATGTTGATGGAAAATGCACAAAACCACAAAACGATTGTAAATACGAAATTAACGATTTTGAGAATAGAAAGTGTTTACAATGTTATGATGGCTATTTGTTAATTGATGAAACGTGTTTTGAAGCTGAAAAAACAAACACGATAATACAAAATAATTTGACATATACATGTGATACACAAGAGTACCTTAATCAAAACAACATGTGTGTTGACTGTAAACAGAATATGTTAAATACAAATGGTTGTCAATTGTACAATGGAAATGTAATCTCAACAAAATGTGATGTAAATTATGTGATGGATATAATAAATAACAAATGCATTGTAAGTGAAATGTGTCTGACATATGTAAGTGGTGATTGTGTGGATTGTGACAACTCCGTTCATCGCGTCATTAAAAATAATTTGTGTATAGAAAAGACTTATGATAAATGTGTGAAATATCACATAACTGAGTGTATTATATGTGAAGAAAATTATTTGATTTCAAATGGAAAATGCACTTCTAAAGGAGAATTGAATTGTGAAAATTCAAATCAATTTACTTGTGTAAAATGTGAAGATAATTATCATAATGTTATTTATTCTCTTGACGAATATTGTCAAGCAAACACAGATAATATCAAATTTCAGAAATCAACAAATAACTCCACTACAATTTTAGAGTGCTCAGATAATTATTTATTATCAAACAATTTATGTATACAAAAAGTTGACAAATTAAACATTAAAAAATCAGATGATACTTTATGTACAATTTTAACACCAAAAGGATGTCTCAAATGTGTCAATGGGTTTTATTTAGACAATTCTAAAAATTGTGTTAAATGCAGTAATAATTGTGTTGAATGTTACAACGACACATACTGTCTTTCTTGTAATAAAACATCAAACCTTTTCCTTACAACAAACAACTCATGTCAGTCTTTAGAAATACTAAACAACACGTGTAAACTATTGATGCCAACAAAAACGAGTTGTGCGATATGTTATGATGGTTATTTAAGAGAAAATGGCGATTGTGTTCCATGTGATGTCTCATGTGCAACATGTCTTGAAACAAAGAAGTGTCTTACTTGCAAAGAAAATTACTTTTTGATTCAAAGTGAATCGTTCTTATGTCAGAGTTATGATAATTTGACACGTTGTTTACATAAAACACCACACGGGTGTACTTTATGTGATGATGGATATTATGTAGACACACAAATACCTCGCTGTTTTAAATGTGATTCAAATTGTGATAATTGTGTAACATCACAGAGTTGTGTGACATGTTCAATTGATTATATATTAATAAATAATGTGTGTGTGTCAATTTCAAACATTACACATTGTATCAAAGCCACAAACAATATTTGTACACAATGTGAAAATGATTTCAAAGTATCAGACAATGGCATTACATGTGTAGATAACAATTCACTGAATTATGGAGTTGTCATTGGAATACCAATCGCTTCTTTCATTCTTCTTGTTATTATAATATTATTGTTGATAATAATAATATATATCATTTCTCACAAAACTCGCAAAGAAAAGGAAAAAGAAATTTGCATTTTTAATATGAAGAAGTCAAACATTTCATTTACTAAATTGAACGACTTTTTAGTCTCAAATTTAGATCAAATTAAATTTGAAAATGAAACAAATAGCGATTTAAATATACCAGTCGACTTAGAAACGCGAGCACTAATTTGCATTGGAAATATATCAAAAGACAAAATCAAAGTTCAGATGAGTGTAGTAGATGGGTGTGAGTTGTACAGCATTCGCACATCGCCACCTCTAGTTACCTTAACCAAAGACGAAGCCTGTGAGTTCGAAGTATTTTTGAAGCCAAATTGTTCGTGTTGTATCAAAGAACAAATTCTCTGCACGTCTTTTTCAATAAGTAAAGGAGTTCAAACATCAACAAACATCAAAATATCAGCTCAAACAATTTTAACAACAAAACTTGATTACCACGAATTAAAAGAAGACAAAAAACTGGGAGAAGGTTCCTTTGGAATTGTTTATTTAGGAACTTTCCGTGGCAACAAAGTCGCAATAAAGAAACTCAAAGAATCGAGTTCAGTTGTCGAACAATTCAACGAATTTGAAAATGAAGTTTCCATGTTAGACAAATTTAGAAGTGAGTATATCGTCCATTTTTATGGCGCCGTTTTCATCCCAAACAAAGTGTGTATGGTCACCGAATTTGCTCCATTTGGAAGTCTTCAAGACTTAATTGATAAACGAAAAAATTCAGAAGAACGAGTTCCCAAAAACGTCCGTTATAAAATCATGTTAGATGCGACACTAGGACTTGAGTATTTACACTTAAATGGTGTTGTACATAGAGATATTAAGCCAGACAACATCTTAGTGTTTTCTTTAGAACTTATGAATGACAAAGTAAACGGTAAATTGACTGATTTTGGAAGTGCTAGAAATATCAATTTACTGATGACTAACATGACATTCACAAAAGGAGTTGGAACACCTAAATATATGGCACCTGAAGTGTTAAATAAAGAAAAGTATAAAATGCCTTGTGATATCTTTTCACTTGGTACTTCTATGTATGAAGTGTTCTCGTGGAAATCAGCATTCACAGAAAAACAATTTAAATACGCGTGGGATATTGCTGACTTCATTTCGGCGGGAAAACAACTACAAAAGCACGAAAATATGACAAACAGCGAATTTGAAATAATCAAGAAAATGTGGGAATTTGAGCCTCAAAAAAGATTAAAAAGTGGGGAAATTGTTTCTTTGTTACAAAAACTTTAATTAAATTTATTATTGTTTTTATTTCAATAACAGTTGACGAAAAAATAGTCAGAGACCAAATAATTGTAAGAAGTAAAATAAATAGTTTTAAAACTTTAATTAAAAATTATTTTTAAAATAGAAATGTTTTTTTTTGTATTATTTGGTGTACCTTTTTTTAACTTTTTAATTGGTTATTTCCAATGTTATCAATAAGAAAAACACCTTTCTGACAATTACTTAGTCAACTGTAAAATAACTTTGTTTATTTTTTTATTTCTTGGAATCTTGTTTTTATTTTAACACTTTAAATAACATCGAATATAATTAAAATGGTTTAATAATCGTGAAATTTTGAGTTTATTTAACATTTCCATGTTTTTTAAAGTTTATTATTAGTATTACAACACACAAGTTTGTATGTATTTACAGAGTATTGCCCATAAATACTTATATTTTAAATTTAATTGTAAAATAAACATGTATGTTATAAAATACAATAAATAACAATAATAATGAAAAAATGAATTAGAACAACTTTTTTAACAAAGAATTTTGGATTTCCGACCCATGAAAAAACTTGATGGTTACTTCTTTATTTCAAAATACTTATTATATTCATTTTGTAATAATGCATCAATTCTTTTGTCCAATTCACTTACCAATTTATTAACATTTTCAATATAATCAATGAAATAATAATAGTTGCCGCTTCTTTTCTTCTTTTCATTATACCACAATCCACCATTATGAACTACATACACATCATTTTCTGTAATTAAGGGTACTGTCAAATTACAAGGTAAAATAGAACGAACATATTGGTCTGACATTAAATTGGAATATTTCTTCTGTACACGAACTATTTCGACAACGTGAACTTTGTATATCAAATAGTAACTAGGGAGCTTACATATTAAATCTACCGAAGCCACAACAACCCCATTCTTAGTTTTAATAGCATATTTGTGTTTTTTTGTTTTCCCATAAACTGGAGGGAATGTATAGTGGTGCTTTTTTCCTAAAAAATCAAATTCTACACTTCCGCCATTAAAATAATAAGAAAGAGGCACTTCAATTTCTTTGTGGAGTTCATTTTTATAAAATTTTTCTTTTTTCATAAATTTGGTGATAATAGAAATGCACTTTTCATTGACTTTGTTTGTTGTGTAAAACATTTGGCATTGTGATTTAGTTGGAACAATCTTTGAAATCTCTTCAAGTTCACATGTTACAATTTTCATCATATCTTCATTATCTTAACTATATTCTTCTGCCTCTGTTTCATCTTCACTTTGACTTGAATGAGATGTTTCATTGAGGCTTGGAGTGCCCTCTCCACTCATCTCTTCATTTTTAATAACATGAACAAAATTTCCTCTATCATAGATGTACTTCATTAAATTTCTGAATATTTGATTTGAAATTAAAGTATGTGCGTCGCCTACTATAACTAGTCCGCGTTTCGCACGTGTTAAAGCGACATTAAGTCTTCTGTGATCAGACAAAAATCCAATTCCTTGTTGTTCATTTGATCTCACACATGAAATGATGATAAACTCCTTTTCATTTCCTTGAAAGCCATCAACACTTGCGACTTCAATAGTCTTATGTGCAACTCCAAGTAACTCCCTTTGAGTTGAATATGGTGAGATAATACCAATTTCATTATCTTTTATTCCTTTCCTATTAAAAAGATCTATCAAGTATTGAACAACTTCCTTTTCTTGTGAATTACCATAACTCTTCCCAGAAACACCATAAAATTCATCGCCTTTGCAATGAACAAACATCACTGGAAATAGTGGGTTTGGTAGTATTCCTTGAAGTCGTTGATCACTTCGATCGTCTTCGGAGACCCCATTCAGTAATTTTCCAGCATAGAAATTGTCATTTGGAAATTTGGCGATTTGTGGATGCATACGGTATTGAGTGGTTAGAAGCGCATATGGCACTTTGTTCAGTAAAAGTCGCTCAAACATCGATTTTTCAAGTCCACCTTTTTTACCTTCAGTGGAAAGGACAGTTGGTGGAAGTTGTTGTACATCGCCTATTAAAACAGCCTTTTGGACTCGGATCATAGCTCCAAACGTCTCTGGTTCTATTGACTGTGCAGATTCATCAATGACTACACAGGCATATTGCACACAAAATGCACACTTAGAAAGAGTCGAGGCTACTACATCACAACTTTCAACGATTTTATTCAAATTGTTAAATAAGAAATCCTTTAAATTGGTCATTTGA